GGGGGGCGAGGGGGGGGGGGGGGGGGGGGGGGGGTCCCGCTCACTCTCTTTATCTTGTTTCTAGAGGATTCTTATGAGCCACGGTGGCCAGCAGAGTCGTGCATTTCCTGCTTTTGGACTTCTACCTCCTCGCCCGCTCACTCCATAGGGGTTCAGGGGTTTAGGATTTCGGGTTTGAGGTTTAGGGTTTGGGGTCTAACGGCAGACCTCGCAGAAGCCCAACAAGCACCCCTAAACCCTAAACCCTAAACCCTAAACCCTAAACCCTAAACCCTAAACCCCTAACTCAAACCTAAACCCCCTCCACCAGGTGAGGGCCCAGGCTCCTGAGCTCTCAGTGTGGCTAGAAGTGGGGAAATTATGCTTATTGCTGGTTGGTTTAGGGTTTATGGTTTAGGGTTCAGGGTTCAGGGTGTAGGGTTTACCGTATTTAGGGTACTTATAACCTTGTGTTAAATACATACCCTAAATAATTTAGGGTATTTATAATCATATTTAGAGTACGTGTAACCTTATTTATAACCCCACTTATAGCCACCCATGAACCTTCACGTAGCCCTAAACCCTAAACCCTAAACCCTAAACCCTAAACCCTAAACCCTAAACCCTGTTTAGGGTTCTTTGGTTATTGAGTCCTCATCGACGTTCAAGTTCAGAGCGGCGACCTCGGGGCGATCTTGGGGTAAGCTTCGGATCCTTCAGGGGGTCTGTAGGGCTTAGGGTTTAGGGTTTAGGGTTTAGGGTTTAGGGTTTCGGGTTTAGGGTTTAGGGTTTAGGGTTTAGGGTTTAGGGTTTAGGGTTTAGGACGGACCTCCAGGTTTCTCTTGGGGTAGTTTCAAGGGGGCCCCTTAAACCTTAAAAGGGGCCTTTAAAAGGGGAACTTTTATGTTGCCCTTAGATGCCAAGGGCCCATATAGCAGAACCGGGTAAGGGACCGCATTAAGGGCTCGTGAAACTACCCATAGAGTTTTAGGACTTTCTTGGGCCTAGGACTCCCAGTGTTTGAGGTTCCGGACGCATCCGGCATCTACAGGTCTAGGGACTTGGGCCACCCGCCAAGCAGACAAGCCACGCTGTTTGGGCGTTAGAATGCAGGAAGGCGTCCGACAGCCGAAGGTCAAATGGAGGGCTGGTTTCTTTATAAGCTACATGGGCACCTGATAGGGCTCAGGTGCCCTTTTTGCAGCAGGATGCAGCAGGTACCTGCGTCGTCCTAATTCCCGAGCAGCCAGCATCTACCGGGTCGCACGTGTAAAACCTAAGCTCTTGAGCCCCTTCGCGTGGGGAAGCTCAGGATTCAGGCTGCCATGCAGTGCATTTCGACTCTCCCTCTCTCCCTCTCTCTCCCTCTCCCTCCCTGTCCCCCTCTGTGTCCTTGTCCCTCTCCTACAGAGCACAAGGGGGCGATGCTGCCCCTACGTAGTTAGGGCTCTGCATATGCGACTTCATCAAAGAACCCTTTTGAATCTAAAGGAAAACAAGTAATTATCTCAGTCCCTACCGAAACCCTGAAAGAACGAGGTCCCCCCCCCCCTCCCAACCAGCAAAAAAACTTGGCTGCACTTAACAGGGTAGCTATGAATTTAATTTTTAGCTGCTTTATCCAGAAGCCCAGTAAACCCAAAACGGCGAAGGATCTAAAGTTACGGTAAAGCACCACAGAGAGAAAAAAATCTAGGGGAACCCCAACCCTAAAACAAAGGAAACAAGGGCCTACTCCCGGTCCAGAGAAAAAATCACAAGGGAACCCCAACCCTAAAAAAAAGGAAAACAAGGGCCTACTCCCGGTCCGAGGTTAGGGTCCCGGCTTCATCCTTTATCGCAGGCGGAGCCGACCTGCAGCGTCTCCGCGCCATCCGCGCATCTTCCTGTCACTGGCGGCATGCGCTCGACGAAAATATACCTAAACTCCCCTTAGAACCTTAGTAATAAAAACAATATGTTTAATATCCTCTTGGGTTTATATCAACAAAAACTAACTCCCAAGGGGGATATAGATAAGGGGTACCCTCCGAGGGTTCCTTTCTTGAGGGGATTCTACTCTACATGGGAGCCTATCCAAGGACACCCCGATATTAAGCGTAGCGGTGTAGCGTAACCTCCCCGCACGAGGATAACATAGAACATCATGTACTGGAACGAAACAGAGTGGACAATAAAAGAGCTGCATTGAAGCAGCATGAGTCGAAGTGGAGATGGAGACTACAATAGAACGGCATAGAACGCAACACACGATGATGAGACTTACATGCATACCTTCCTTCTCGCCTTACGTCTGCTGGCATGTACTTGGAGGCTCATGGTACTTCATAACCCAATAATATCTGTACTTATAACCCAAATGTAACCACATTAGGGCACTCAAGGGGCTTATAAGTGGGTTATAAGTACAGTTATCTTTGGGTCATAAGTGCCATGATGGACCTGCAAGTAGCCCTAAACCCTAAACACTGAACCCTAAACCCTAAACCCTAAACCCTAAACCCTAAACCCTAAACCCTCCATCGATGCAACACGCCTCCTCTGGCTCCTCCAACTCCAGGAAGGTATTCTTCACCTTCGGGGCTTCAGGGCATCCGGCTTTGGGTGTCAGGGTTTAGGGGCCCTTTTGTCGGTTTCGGTGCTTAGGGGTTTTGGGGGTTTAGGGGTCTAGGGGTTTAGGGTCTAGGGGTTAGGGTTTAGGGGTCTAGGGGTTTAGGGTCTAGGGGTTTAGGGTCTAAGGTTTAGGGGTTAGGGGTTTAGGGGTTTAGGGGTTTAGGGGTTTAGGGTTTAGAGGTTTAGGGGTTTAGGGGTGTACTCGGCGCTAGGGCTTAGGGTTTAGGGTTTCGGGTTTAGGGTTTGGGGTCTGGTTTCGGGACGCTTCCTTCATGAAGAAGACCCCGCACGAAGATCGGGCACCAGAAGCCATCGGCTCGCAGCACTTTGGACTTGGCGTCTTGGGGTTCGGGTCACCAGCCATGCGCGTCAAGCACTCCTTGTCGAACAGCAGCATAGGGTTTAGGGTTTAGGGTTTAGGGTTTAGGTTTTAGGGTTTGGGGCTGTTAGGATTCGTTCTCCTGCTTGGGCTGCCTTTTTTGCTTTGTCGAGAGGGGTGTGGAAGTTTAGCGGCTCTGGGGTTTAGGGCTGAGGGTTTTGGGGTTTAGGATTTAGGGTTTAGGGTTTTAGAGCCCCTCCACCATGAAACCGAAGACCGGATTGGCCGGACCTTGGTCGCGAAGGGCGTCGACAAGCGTAGAGGGCCGGCTGCAGCAGCCACTGGCGTCATGCCTTTCGTTCTTCTATACTCGCCTTAGAACCTTAATAACAATAATATATGCTTGATATCCTCTTGGGTTTTATATATAAACAAAAATAGAAAACATAGTTCCCCAAGGGGGATATAGTCTTGGGTTGTGGGTCGTATGAGCGGCTGGGTGTAGTTTATGTTGAACAACTGTCGCGCTGGTCAGTGGCTCCCACCCTAAACCCTAAACCCTAACTCTAAACCCTGAACCCCAGACCCTTAAACCGCGTCTTGCGGTCTGGGATTTGGGGCTTCTTTGGGCTGTCTGTTCGGGGCAGCTCGAGGTAGAATCGATGCTCTCGCGCTTGAACCCACCCGAGAATCCAAACTCCTACCTCAAGGCACATAAGGATGTAGGCAAACACCTAAACCCTGGCTTTCTCAACCTTTCTTGACCCTAAACCCTAATCCCTAAACCCTAAACACTGAACGCCCCGGGGTTCGGGGCGCCTTTGGGACCAAGGAGCTCATCATCGTGTGAAGGTCGCGGAGGTGGCAGCAATGCTGTGCCAAAGCGTTTATATGGTTGAGCCCGAAGCTTCGGATGAGGAGGGTTTAGGGTTTAGGGTTTAGGGTTTAGGGTTTCGGGTTTCGGGTTTAGGGTTGGTGGGGTTTGTAGGTTTATAGGGTTCATGGGGTTTATATGGGTGGGCGGTTCAAGTGGGGTATGTAACGCAAGGCTCCCTCATACTCTCCACCTAAGGGTCGGCCTCCTAGGTACCTACCCCTAAACCCTAAACCCTAAACCCTAATCCCTAAACCCTAAACCCTCCGGTAAGGACCCCATAAGAAACTAGGTGCTTAAGAAGCCCGAAAAAAAGGCTCCTCCTTAGTGAGTCTTTTCTTTCTTCTTCGGGGTAGCAAGTAGTAGGAATCTAGGGGTCCAGACTCGAACGCGAATCCCAATGCAGGGAAGTGGCGTGGCGAAAGTTAGGACTGCACCAACTCAAGCCTTCCAACCCTAAACTCCAAAAACCCTCAACCCTAAAGACCCTCAACTCTAAAAACCCTAAACCCTAAACCCCAAACCCTAAACCTAAACCCTAAACCCTGATCTGTAGGGCCGACATCCTAATCCGCAATCAAGGTCCCTCAAGATGAAAAGGTGGGATGATGGCTCTGGTGGGAGTCCCAGTTATCATATGGGCATGTTTTATAAAGGCCGGTGGCCCCTTTATCTGTTACCCTTATACCCGAGATACCCTAACAAGCACCCGCTACAAAACAGAAACCCTACTCAAAGAGACCAGGCAATAGAAGGCATGCTTGTATTCGGGTGAAGAGAACTGGCCCTAAAAGTCTCAGCATCCAGACTGTCGGAGCTTTGCGAACCTCTATGCGCGGTCAGAGTTTTGGGTTTTGGTAACCCTAAACCCTAAACCCTAAACCCAAAGGTTTCCTGCAAGTACTCCGGATGTGGGCCCTCTGGGGGATCATTACATTTTGTCCCCAAACCCCACATTACAACCTTAGGGGTTCGAGGTAGAGTCCCATGACTCCCGTTTTCGGGTTCCAGGGTTTAGGGTTTAAAGGGTTTAAAGGGTTTAGGGGGAACTTAAACCCTAAACCCTGAAGCACTAAGGTCGCCTACCCGACTACGCAGTGTGCGGATGTGGTGGCTTGTTTGGGGCGCAGAAGAAAAGCTCGCCAGCCGACTTCTGCAATCGCCAGCTCTAACCCTAAACCCTAAACCCTAAACCCTCAACCCTAAGGGCGCCTCTAGCTGCTGCTCCAGATATCCCTCGGAGGCTTGCACGATCCAGCCTCGGCCATGGGGGAAAATATCACCCGAAGTCCGCAAACAAGCGCCTTGAACCCTAAACCCGAAACCCTGAGCTAGCCCTGCTGCTTAGGGTTTAGGGTTTAGGGTTTAGGGTTTAGGGTTTAGGGTTTAGGGTTTAGGGTTTAGGGTTAAGGGTTAAGGGTTTAGGGTTTGGGGTTTGGGGTTTGGGTTTTGGGGTTTAGGGTTTAGGGTTTAGGGTTTAGGCCCTAAACCCTAAACCCCCAAATCCACGCAAGTCTGACTAAGCTCTGCCTTGTAATCTTCACGCCTCCAGACCCTCAACCCTGAACTCTACACCCCAAACCCCAAACCCCAAACCCTAAACCCTAAACCCTAAACCCCACACCCCAAACCCTAAACCCTAGCCCCAAACCCTTTTGGTGGCGCTCGGAGGCCGCGGAGTCGGAGCTCGGAGATGCCGGCAGCTAAACATGGATCCCTGCACGTGTGAGATGATGCTGTGTGTCTGATTTCGGGCTTAGGGTTTAGGATTAGGGTTTAGGGTTTAGGGTTTAATTAGGGTTTAGTGGATTCCGCAATTCGGGGCTACCTTATTGGGGTCCTGTTCATAAGGGGATCCTACGATTTGCGGGTGTACATTCTCGTAAACACCCATGTAGCGTTTAGGGCTTAAAGCCCTAAACCCTAAACCCTAAACCCTAAACCCTAAACCCTAAACCCTAAACTAACGAGCCATGACGTGGATCGCGACATCGGCCCATCACAGCTCTCACCAGCCTTGGCTCGGACTGCTGTTTTTTTTTTTTTTTTTTTTTGGGGGGGGGGGGGGGGTTAGGGTTTAGGGTTTTTAGGGTTTCTAGGGTTTCTAGGGTTTCTAGGGTTTATAGGGTTTAGGGCTTAGGGTTTAGGGTTTACGCGTTACAGGTTAGGGTTGAGGGTTCAGCAAGTCCATCCTTTCGCTAGTAAGGCTGCTTACTCCGGAATCGAATATCGACCCACCCACCCATTGGATCCCATAACATTATGAAAATACCTCTCGTTGTAACCCAAGGTAGGTTCTTGTCCACGAATGTTGGCGCTTGTCTGCGATGTGTTGGTGCTATTGTTCGGCAATTGTCCGCGAGTTATTGGCGCTTGTCCGCAAGTTGTTGGTGCTCGTCCGCGAACTGTCGGCGCTTTGCCACGAATTGTTGCTTGTCCGCGAATTGTTGGCGCTTGTCCGCGAAGTGTTGGTTGGCCATTAAATATACATAGGCCAGAGAGGGTTTTAGGGTTTAGGGGGCTTACTGTAGGGGTTTTGGGGGGTCTAGGGGGGGTTTGGGGGGTACTGGGGGGGCCTTTATTGGGGTTTAAGGTTTGGGGGGGGGGGGGGTGTGCAGCTGGAGGTTGAGGACTGCATGGCGCGGTTTGAGGAAGAGGGCTTCTCGGGCTTAGGGTCAGGAATCGCCTACAATGAGGATTCTGATGAAACCCTAAACCCTAAACTTGCCCTAAACCCTAACCCTAAGCCCTAAACCACCCCTGGGGTTTTCTGGGGTGTGGCTCTGAAATTCGGCCCCCCTCGGAATCTCTCTCCCAAAAGCGCACCAGCTAGTAAGTGGCCGGGTCTTTCATGCCCTGAACCCTTTGGAACCCTAAGTTTTAAACCCCAAGCCCTAAGCACTCAACCCTCATCACTCTGTTCTAGCCACCGCCGTGGGCGGTCTTGTTAAACTGCACCGGCTGAAGGGACCTTCTGGTTCTGAGGGACTATAGGATTTACGAGGCGGAGGTGAGTGCTTAAGATGTCGTTGAAGTCACACACTAAAGGCTCCTTGGTCCCGAAACTACCGGCCAACTGCTGCATCCCAGCCGCCCATGGGACCGCCCATGGGGCCGCCCATGGGTCCGCCCATGGGACCGCCCATGGGTCCGCCCATAGGTCCACCCATAGGACCGCCCATAGGAGGGTAGCCGCCTGATTCCGCAAGGAAAGTGCTCTCGTTTCCAGCTTGGGGCCTTCGACAGGGTTGCTGTTCAGGAACTGCAATTAAGTTGACTTACCATGACAAGGAGAGCAAAGCAATCCACTATATTTATATTATGGTGAGTGCTAATATTATGGCAACTTCATTTCGAGGCTTCAGTGCCCTACTCAAAGAACAGCAACCCAGTCTAGACTTCCGATTCCAGGCCTGGACATCACGAAGGTGTTGAAGCTCGGGCAAGTATGCTTGCCGCATCCCAGCAAAGACTTTGCCCTGCTCAGCCCGCGAATCCTAAAACCGCAAAGTCCGAATCCTTAGCCGAAGCACTCCTGAAAGCGGAAGCACCCAAAACTCCCATAAACCCACAGAAAGAGAAACACACACACACACACACACACACACACACTCTCTCTCTCACTCAAAGCTCTAAACCCTAAAGCCCTAGAAGCCCCCGAAAAAAAAAAAAAAAAAACAAACGAAGCTCCGAAAGCCGGAGCAGCGCCCAGCCTGGCCCGCCGTCCCAGCCTGGCCCGCCGTCCCAGGCCGGCCCGCCGTCCCACGGCGGCCCGCCGTCCCAGCCCCAACCTCTTGGGCCGCCGAAGGAGGAAGGCGCCCAGCCCTTGCCTTCAGGTGTTGAGAGTGGGAGGCTGCAGGATAAGTACTAGAGTATATTTTGAATGTAACTTCGAGTCTACAAAAGATGCTTCGGATGTTCTTTGAACTGAACATGAGAGGAGGGGCGATTTGCTGTCAAGTCTACAGCTTCCCCCGCCACTAGCGCCAAACCCTTGCTTGCTTGCTTGCTGGATCATGGCCTCCGCCGCCAGGACGTATGAAACCAGGGCGCGCAGCCTCATCACCGGCTGGAGTTTTGGGTTTGGGCTTTTGGGGTTTATGGAGCAGTCCTACACTTTTAAAACCCAAAAAAGCTGAAAGGCTTAAACCTTAACTATTGTTCCGACAGGAGGAAATGCAAAGCTCAATCATCAGCTAATTGCAGGCTTGCCAAGAGGGATGATGCCAAGAACGTGTATGATTCACAGGATGAGAGACACAGAACCAAGACCCTAGTTGCCGAACCCCGCCTAAGCCTTCAAATGTGCATCCCGAAACCCCAAATCCCCTTTTGCATGCTTATTGCGCATGACACAAGGGCTCAGAGTTCAGGATTCCGTGGGTTTAGGGTTTAGGGTTTTCGGGCAAGTGCCCACAAGTGTCCTAATTGCCGTCTTGAAGGGGTCATGGGCAGCTATGCAATAGGAAGGTTTTGCAAACCTTCCCTTTGTATCTGGCTAGGGGGCCTTTTTTTTTAACGGGCCCATGAAACCAATATTGAACCCGAATTCCCGCCTCCTATACTAACCGTCCTTCTTAGGCACTATCATAGGGGGTACTATCATCCCTTCTAAGGACTGTTAGCATGAGGGGGAACATCCCAAAACCCTACCCTAAACCCCAAACCCCAAACCCCAAAACCCCAAAACCCCAAAACCCCAAAACCCCAAAACCCCAAACCCTAAACCCTAGACCCTAAACCCTAAACCCCCACAAAACCTGTACCGTGAAGCCAGCCGTGGGGCCACGGGCGCGCCGGGCCAGGCCGCCTGGGTGGCCCAGGCCTTTCGAGGGGAGAAGGCTTCAGGGCTTCCCGGGCTTTCAAAGCCCTAAACCCTAAACCCTAAACCCTAAACCCTAAACTGGCCCTAAACCCTAAGCCCTAAACCCTAATTAAACTTTCAGGGCTGTGCCATGTGAGCTTGTATGGCTTTGGAGTGCGGTCGGGATTCGGGGCCTTCAGGGCGTTGAGGGCTTCTGGAGGGCGTTCAGGCGCTTTCAGCGCTCATGGCTCGCGGGTGCCCTAAAGCGTCAGGTTTTTCGGGGCTTGCGCTCGCGCAACTCAGAACAAACCCTAGACCCTAAACCCCAAAATTCAGGAAAACAAGGCCAGCGTTTCGGGAGGGGTTTAGGCTTTTGAGTCAGGGTTCAGAGCTCGGATGATTCCCCCTTATACTAACAGTCCTTAATCGGGATTATGATATGGGAGGTACTATACTCGCTATGAAGGACGGGTAGCATCAAGGGGAGCATCCCAAGTCTAGAGCTTGCTGACGTTTGGGCTTGTGTCCGCCCACTTGCGCTCCCAAAGGGAGGCTGAGGCATGCCGTGACCGCAGCAATCCCTCCACTCCAACTCCTTTAAGCCCCTTAAAACCCTTGAAGCCCTGAGACTTTTACACCCTTGACCTTTAAACTCTGAACCCCAAACCCCTTTCTTTATATTCCCGGGGCTACCCCTAAACCCTAAACCCTAAACCCTAAACTCTAATTAAACCTCTGAAGCTCGCCCTGGCCCTTCCAGCTCCTTGGGTGCTGCCTTGGCCGCCCAAGGAGACCTCAGGTGGGTTTAGGGCCCCAGGTCCGTGGGGTTTAGGGTTTTAGGGTTTAGGGTTTTTTTGGGTTTAGGGCTCAGGGCTTAGGGTTTAGGCAAACATCAAGGTCATTGGCGCAATGGTCCCTTCTTCTGGGGGTTCTCTTGTGGAGTCCACCTGGACCCTTTCCGGTACGGCTCGTCCTGTCACTGGACAGCACCCCTCGTTGCTTTCAACGATCCCTGAACCCCTCGCCACACAGACTTTCTGCTCTCTCTCTCTCTCTCTCTCTCTCCCTGCCTCCCTCCCTCACCCTGCCCGGCCAGTTGCTTGTCAGCCACCTTAGACCCTAAGCCCGAAACCCTGAATCACTCAAAACCTCAGCCGCTGTATTCGGGAGGAATCGGGGATGCAGCCACGCGTCGGCTGATTCATCTGCTGCTGCAGGACGGCCAGCTTTAGCCGAATGCTCTCCTGGATCAGCTTCAGGCTCACCACCCTCATTAAGGCTTAGTGGGGGCTTAATAGGGCTTCATAGGGTTGAATAGGGCTCCATGGGGCGTAGTAGCTCAATAGGTTTAATTGAGCCTTTTTTACAGGCTTTAAACAGAGTTTCTAGGGCTTATCACACGCGTTGCCGCTTAGGGTTCAGCGTTCCGGGACTAGCGCACTGGCACAATGCTGGAAATGCACCAAGGGCCCGAGTCTTGGCGGCCAGGGACGCTGCACGTCCGTGCGTCTCTGTCACTCATTCTGCACCTCATGGGGCTTGTACGAGGCCCCACACCCTAACCCCTAAACCCTATACCCTGTATTATATACCCTCCTCAACCTTCTCTTCTCTCAAGTGGCGTCACCGGCGTCGATGCGCCGCTGCCGATCTCGCCGGGCCTCATGGAGCTGGGGCGTTTGGTCGGGTGCATCTGCTAGTCACAGCGGATGCTTATGACAGGATGGCTTCGGAGTACTCCTTGAACACTTGAAAGTTGCTTTCAACAGAAAAGTGGTATAGATGAGGAGGTCGAGGTGTGGCTGCTTCAGGTCTCACAGGGGCTAGCATTCCAGAAGACCTTTCAGCAGTAAAAAGCCGTCGTGGAGCTAGCGACGCTTCATTTTTGGGGGTGCTGTCCTTGTGTCTGAGTGTCTCTGAGTCTCTGCATCTGTGTCTGTGCGCGCGCGAGCGCGAGCCCGCGCCTGCCATGCGTGCGAGTGTGCTACCTGCTATGCACCTGTGCTATGCGCGGCGTGCACGCGCGCACGTGCTTGCGCGTCTACCCAGCACCCAGCTTGCAGCCGCACTGGCACCTACTTCCCGAGCATCCTGGACTATTCAACCCTTCTGCAACAGGCTTGCCACTTCGCCCAAAGCTGGTGCCACTCGAACCCTAAACACTAAACCCTCAACGGAACCCCTAGAGGGCCCCGCCTCCTCAGTGAGGCGCACGAACATGTCCTGCCAAATGTCGGTCATTCTCCACCAACGGGCCGATCGAGAAATTTAGGGTTGAGGGTTTGGGGCTTAGGGGCTGGGATGTTCGTCCTTCTACTCACAGTCCTAAACAGGGATTGTAGTGCCCCTTTTCAGAATCCCCCCTACAAGCACCCCCCCCCCCCCCCCAAAAAAAAAAAAAAGAAAAACCTACACCACTTTCCGGTTGAGGCTTGTTCTAAACCCTAAACCCCAAAACCCCAAAACCCGCCCTAAGTGCTTTGGGGCCTTTGGGCTGCAGATCTTAAGCGAGCACTCCTGGTTGATCAGCTGCTCTTCGGTGAGGATGGGTCGGAGGATGCCTGGCTGTAGGGTTTAGGGTTTAGGGGTTTAGGGTTTAGGGCTTAGGGCTTAGGGCTTAGGGCTTAGGGCGAAGCGGAGTTCCGAATTGGGGCGTGAGGACATGGCATTGCTAATCCGACATCGGAGGAAGCTTTGAATAATTTGGGGTTTAGAGTTTAGGGTTTAGGGTTTCGGGTTTTTTTTTTTGCCACCCGCCTAGCAGACCCCCTCTGGGATCACTCCGCAGGGAACAATCGTGATCTCTCGTACGCGTCTTCAGCAAAAAGGGCCCCGAGACACCCCCATCACCCTCACCCCCAACACAAGTAGGTTCACACAACCGAGACAACGGGTGGGGGTGCATCCAGGCCGGGTTCTTCAGGTCACAGGCATCACTCCATTGGCGTGGTACGCAACCTGGAACCCCTTGACTTGAAACACTGGCTCTGTCATGCCCACATTATGACGCCCGAACCCTTACAACAGTGGGGACCCCAGCAATACCTCTATCCTGCGGGCATGGCCATAACAGGGCTACAGCAAAAGAAAGGCAAAGACTTCGGGTTTAGGGTTTAGGGTTTAGGGTGACAGGTGCATCCCCACTGCAGCGAGAACAATCGAGTGCTTGGCGTGCTTGAGATTTTGAGGGGGGCTCATGGTGCGAGAGGACTGCTATGACATGATCGATGTTTCCGCATAGATACAGGAGCTTCCGAAATTAGGGTACCTTCTTGGGGTCCTGAATTTTTGGGCATCCTACTATGTAAGGGACTATATGAGGGGTTTCATATTTTCGTAAACCCCCCATGCCTATATTCCGGTTTAGAGCAACCCCATCTGCAGAGGTCTGCCCCGATCAAAACGTACAAGGGTGCAGCCGGGGATGCCATTGTCCAAGACAGAAACCACATCGCTGACCAAGTCCTCTGGTGGGCCATCGATCACAGCTTACAAGGATTGGAGTAAAGGCAACAGGCACTGTTGAAAGGTGTGCAATCAATATACATATATATATATATATATGTATGATATATGATATATTATATATTATATATTATAATATATATATATATATATGATATATGATATACGATAATATCTGATATATGATATGTGATGCATGACATATTTCGAAACACACACACACACCCACACACACATATATATATATATATACACATAGGATGTGCATCGCATAGATTGTACTGAAGGACCCCGAAGCAAGGGCTCTTAACAGGGGCCCATTCCTTAAGCCAGGGGCTTATCGTAGCTGGGCTTCTCTCCCAGGTGCCTTGTTGGGTTCACGGCTTAGGCCTTAACATCATGCGCCATCACACCACACAGACGTTCCGGAACCCCAAACCAGTTCCCTAAGCCCGAAGCCCTAAACCCTAAACATTAAACCCTAAACCCTAAACTCAAAAAGGTCTAAACCCTCAAAAAATGCAGAGCCAGCGACGCAGAGTTCCACGCTGTTGCTGGAACCGAAGTACTTGGTGTTGAGCGGTTTTCTGAAGTATCCTCGGAACGCTTGCTCTTGCTGAGGGTTCTGGGTTTTAGGGCGATCGCTCTAAGGAACGACTCCCTCAATTAAGGGGGTAGAAGGAGTTTTTGGGCAACTCCCAGCCTCCCCCCTACTGGCTTAGGGATTCTCACGGTCTCGAAAGCCGAACTGGCAAGGGCATGCGGCACGCAAGGCCAGGTGCGCTGGCTGTCAACTTGCTTCTACTTGCTTCAGAACCCTAAACCCAAAAAACAAGAATAATCATGCCTATCCTATCTTGCCCTTGTAAGGAAGACGAATTTTACCTCTTCTGGGTGGATCTTAAGCAAATACGTAGTAGCATTTGCTTGCTCACTGGGGATCGCTTTAGGTCCAGAGTTGGCGCAAGCACCCTGGGGATCGCTAGGTTTTCCCTTCCACCGCCGCAGAGCGTTTGCAGGCCTCGAATGCCTAGAGAACAACAGTTTAGGGGTTTTTTGCCACACGCTTAGCTGACCTCTCGGACACTCTGCAGTTTAGGGGTTTAGGGTTTAAACCAAGGACGAAGCCTTGTGGAATTGATTCGGTCATACCGCGGGCGGCTGCTGCGAATTTTAGCGCAGCAAGTCCAGTAGGCAGAGCAAATTGTGCTTGCGTTGAAGTGTCGGTATTGACGCACACAAGTTTTGGCAATTGAGAGGAAGTGAGAGAGACCCCGTGTCTCGGGAATCGACCACGTCAAGAGCCCAGCCAGTCGGGGTTTTGTGCATACGGTGAATTTAGGGTTGGTTAGGGTGAGAAGAATCTGGAACGTTGCCCGGGTGGCACGACCAAACATGGTGACAGGCTGCACGTCTACAGATCAGGTGGTGAGTGTTTATATCTTAACTCCTGTACTTCGAACGTTCTCAGTGGCAGTGTTTCTGTACGTCGTTCATCCTTTATTTCACTCTATCTTTCTTTGTCGCTGCTTCTGTCCATATTGCTTTAGTTGTTGTCTTAACGCAAGTTTTGTAGCCGTCGCTCTTTCGTTCGTTCTTGCTTCCCTTGTGTTCCGTCATATTCTGTACAAAGGAGCTTGAGTCTGCTTGTACAAAAAGTGACAACAACAGACACCGCAATTCCAAATCCTGCTGCCTTGAAGAAGCCGAATCAACTGGGTTGCGCGTGAGGAACTGAATGTTAGCAACCATGATTAGGACATACCCTAAGGACCAAATGACCCCCATACTACGAAGATTCCTAGGAAGGTATGTGAACTATAACCCTAACCCCTAACCCTTTTAGGGTTCATTTAGTCGTCGAGGTATGGGGTTGCTCGAAAAGTCAGCCCCCTAAACGGGGAACTCTTACTAACAGGGAAACCCGAAACCCGAAACCCGAAACCCGAAACCCTAAACCCTAAACCCTAAACCCTAAACCCTAAACCCTACTCTAATTACTAATTACTCAGGCGCCCGGTATTAAAGCCATGAGGCGGTTGTAGTAGAAGCCAAGGTGGGCCTCGTGGATGCCGGGCCTCTGACAACTCCCTTAAAGAGCAGTTGAAGGAGCAGGAAGGGTTTAGGGTTTAGGGTTTAGGGTTTAGGGTTTAGGGTTTAGGGTTTAGGGTTTAGGGTTTAGGGTTTAGGGTTTAGGGTTTAGGGTTTAGGGTTTAGGGTTTAGGGTTTAGGGGTTAGGGGTTTAGGGTTTAGGGGTTTGGGGGTTGGGTTTAGGGTTTCGGGGAAAATCACATCTAACAGAAAAAAGCGAGCAAGGAGGGTTCTCGTGGGCTTTTTGCGGGCAAAGCCGGCGAAGCCCTTGGCCGCGGAGTAGAACGGGTTCCCTTCTGAGACCGCCGGGAGGATCAAGAAAGTACCCGGTACAGTAGGTTCAGGGTTTGCTTGGTTTAGGGTTCAGGGTTCAGGGTTCAGGGTTCAGGTTTCAGGGTTCAGGGTTCAGGGTTCAGGGTTTAGGGTTTAGGGTTTAGGGTTTAGGGCTCTTTTGCCACCTGCCTAGCAGCCTCGCAAGACACTGCATCCGCAATACGTCCACACAAAGCAAATCGAAGAGGAGGAGAAAGGGAAACTTGGCTTCAAGTGTGGGCTTTCACTGAGGGCTTTCAGGATTTAGGGTTTAGGGTTTAGGGTTTGGGGTTTAGGAGGGCTTCGGGCGCATGCCCGTACCACGGCTTCAAGAGCAAGCCCTAAACCCAAACTCATCACAGCCCGAAGCCTCCCAACATCCGATCATAGTCCTGACACCTGAGAAGACTTTCAGTTCCCTGGGTCAGCTTAGGGTTTAGGTGCTTTTCGGAAGAGGGGTTTCGGGTTGCAGGTAAGGCAGCCTCTATTAAGGTGCTCTCAGCTAAGGTCCACGAGGTGGAAGTAAAGGCTACTACGGAGTCCGTACTCATAACTAGCACTCATACACCCCATATAGGTAAAGCTGATGCACATGCCGGGCCGCCTGTCCGGATCGACAACCGCCTGCATGTTATCTCGCAGGTTTTGGGTCTGGGTTCTGGTGCAAAACGATACTTTTACCCGAAGCTGCCATGATGTTTAGGGCTGGGTCAGGGCTTGTCGCCGTGACTGCAAGCAAAGATCCTTTCTCCCAAAAGCCTAAACAACCCTTTTGCCCCCTTTTTGCAGCTAGGTCCGAAACCCTAAACCCTCAACCCGAAACCCTTGACCCTTAACGCCAGGGCTTGGGGCTTGGGGCAGGGTCCTTTTGCACAGCCTCCCATCGCATGACAGGGTACGATTGCAGCTTGCAAAAACCTCCTTTCTATGTAGGAAAGATCTGTCCAGAAATAGAACAAACTCAAACTCGAATTCTGTGTGGGACGCTTTGGGAGTTGGGGCTTAGGGTGTAGGGCTTAGGGTTTAGGGACACCCGACCTCCTCCTCTCCTCCTCCACCTCCACCTCCTCCACCCCCCCCCCCACCCTAAACCCTAAACCCCAAACCCCAAACCCGAAACCCTAAACCCTAAACCCTCCCAAGAAGTAGAGAGCCCGCCCGCGCCTGCGCGAAAGCGCTCATCAGCATGGCCAGCTCGAAGCGCAGGTTCATCAACGCCCAATCCTGTTATGGGGGGGTGCCTTAATGGGGGTTAGGGTTTAGGGTTTAGGGTTTAGGGTTTAGGGTTTAGGGTTTAGGGTTTAGGGTTTAGGGTTTCGGGTTTCGGGTTTGGGGTTTAGGGTTTAGGGCTTAGGGTTTGGTTTAAAAGGGTTTGGGATTTAAAGCTTTTTGCTTTGCCGCGTGCTGCGGACGCACCACAAGGCAACACGCTGGCGAGAGCGCCGATCCGTGCTTTTTGTTTACAGCTTTGGGGTTTCAAGTTTTCGGGTAAGGTTTGGGGAGTTTCGGGGTCTTGCATGTAGCTCGACCCGAAACCCCACCCTTACGGCGGAGCTTCATGGGACCATGATGCCGACGCCCCTGCAACTAAGCCCTAAGCCCTCCAAGCCCGAAACTTCTCTACACTCCAACCAACACTCCAAGACCTATCTTCAGCGCCACCTCGAACGCGAAGTGGGCAAACAGTGGTTCGCCTTGAGCGGGCCCTAAAGCCAGGCTTGAAGGCCCATGGAAAGTTCGATTATAAGGGCTGCAGGTGCGGTAGTTAGGGGTTCAGGCTTACGGCTTCGGTTAGCCTACCCACGAACCTTCAAGTAAGCCACTTAGACCACTGGCTTCAAGGTATATTCTTTGCTCAATACACGGGACTTGACAGGAGCGGCTTCATTTCCCCTGTGTTCCCTTCAGGGCCCCACCCCAAATGACCTGAGCCTCCAAGTATAGTAGAAGTCAAAAAGTTGGAAACTCAATGGCCTCAATCCCTAAGAGTAAAGTATAGGGAATCTCAGCACTATTTGTCCTGCAAAAGGTTTCCAACTTTTTGGGGTTTACTGTAAGCCCTTCATGCCCTGTCGGGCCTTCGCCAATGTCAAGCACGTCCTGCTGCATTCCACGGGCAGGCATCCCCCGGGTTTGGGTTTGAGGTTGAGGCGTGCGCCTTGCGTAAGACCCGAAGCCCTATACACCCTTGCATTTTTGCTGGGGCCATGCACCTAAAACCTCCCAAACACAAGACACCCTACTTGAGGAGCAAGATTTGAGCCCCCTCAGGCACGAAGATCCCTTCTTCTCCTACACCCTAAACCCTAAACCCTAAACCCTAAACCCTGAACCCTAAACCCTAAACCCTAAACAAACCATGTCTGCATCTGGACTGGGAGGGGATGCCAGGAAAAGGCTGCACCCTTAACCCTCAAACTCCTAAACGTTGAACCTTGTCTTCGCCACCAAGACCCTAAAAACCCTTTTTGGGGCGCAGACACTTTCTACCCTAAAAACCTTCAGTAACCACAAACTTCTCCAACCCCGAACCGACACAAGACCAGCATCACAGCACGTCCTCGACGGTGTGGATATCGACGGGGACGAAGCCTGGCGCAGACAGCCCTAAACCCTTTTTGCAACTGGCCTAAACCCTAAACCCTAAACCCTAAACCCTAAACCCAAAACCCTAAACCCTAAAGCCTGGGGGATCCTAGGGTTCATCCTAGGATCCTCAAGGGATTTCAAGAAGGGTCGGGGGGTTTGTAACCCAAGGTTCCTAAATAATGCCGACACTAAGCCTCCTTAAGCTTTCCTAAGGCTCCCGAGGTACCTACCCCTCATGTAACCCCACCCCTCCCCCCCTCAGGGTTTAGGGTTTAGGGTTTAGGGTTTCGGGTAAGGAGCCTTTAAGTTCAGGGTTCTTCGGGCTTGCGGCTCGGGGGTTCGAGTTCTACCCACTACCCAAACTCAGGACTCAAGCAACCTTTCACTACGTCTAGCACCCTACGAGGTTGCAGCAACAGCGATGCTTGGGGGGAGCCGGGGGCTCATCACGGATCCCTACTTATCACCCGACCTTACTTGAAGGCTCATGGGTAGTTATAAGTAGGGTTATAGGTTACAAGTACCCCAAATAAGGTTATAGCCAGTTATAAGTAGAGTTACCCTACTTATAACCCCACTGATAAAAGCCCGTGAACCTCCAAGTAACAATCCTCTGAACCCCGTTCTCTTGAGCCCCCAAGCCGACTCGAGCCCGAGACCCAAAATAACTCTGAATCACCCAATCTTGGGATGTTCCCCCCTTGTACTAACACTCCTTCATCGAGATGCTCGTACCCCCTATGATGATCCCTATTAAGTATAACAGGGAACATCCCAACACTCAATCGAATCCCGAGCCAGAACCCTTTACTTCAACCCTAAGCCTGAACCCCTTTTTGTGGCATCCGGGGCAAACGCTATGCTCCCCTCAGAACCTTCATCAAAATCCTATTTCGAATACTCCCTTGGGTTCTATGCAAACAGTATTTACAACAACTCCCAAGGGGGCTGTAGAATGAAGCCCTGGCCGGAATCCAACCCATTTCCCGCTCCACACGCGGCGCCTTCCAGCTCTGCAGCCTCGTCTGCGTCTGCAGCGGCGGCCTCTGTGAGAAAGCTTAGGCTTAGGGGTTGAGGAGTTTTTGGTGCCACCCGCCTAGCTGATGAAAACCTATGAAAACATCGCAGAGGGTTCATGGTTTAGGGTTTAGGGGGCTTCGGTTTCGGGTTCTGGGCTTAGGGGGATTTTCGGGTGGTTAGGGGGTTCAGTGCAGTTTCGGGGGGGGTGGAGGGGGCTTCAGGATTGAAATCCATGTCGCGCAGGAGAAAAAGGGTACCGTTCTTCTTACCAACCATCCCAATGCAACTCGAAGGGGCAGCTTCCTCCACCCAAAGCCCTAAGCTCTTCCATTCCCCCTGGAAAGCCTCGAACGGGTAGTTGTCCGGTGGTTCTAAGTTTTTGCTGGAATACCACGAACCTCCAAGTAAGCTCTGTAGCCCCAAGCTGCGCGCCTCGCCCTCAGCACCTTCGGTCACCTTCTCGGATATTTAGCAGTAGGGGGTTTAGGGTTTAGGTTTAGGGTTTAGGGTTTAGGGTTTAGGGTTTAGGGTTTTAGGTTTAGGGTTTAGGGTTTAGGGTTTAGGGTTTACAAGGCGGTGTTGATTTCTGGGCTTTGGGGGTCCAGGGTTGAGCTCTCTTGGAACTGGTGCCGTGTGCTTCGAGGGCACGCGGTTTTCGTGGGAGTTCGGGAGGCCGAACGTCGGCACAGGAAGATGGCTGAACCCTTGGGAATCCGGGGTGTCGGGCTGAGTGTTTGAGATTGTTCCTGGGGATGCAGCAAGCATGCCTGCCCCTTATGACGTATGATGATAAACGCATATACATGCCCTGTCTACTCGCCCTAAACCCCCCAAAAACCGCGTTTATGTATGCACGTATGTATGCACGTAGAAGCATGTATAGTATAAACGCCCAGAAGGTCCTCATTTTGGGGATCCACATGAAAAGAGAAAGGGCTTGGGGGGTTTAGGGTTTAGGGACGAGGAGGTACCTTGCACACATCTGGCTTTGGGCTCGCCTCCGGCTTGGGCTTCTCCTGCCTCTCCTGGTACTTCTTCTCCTGCTGTTGCCACGTGCAGCACTCGGGGTTAAGGCTTAGGGTAGTTCTGCAGAAGAAGGTTTGTAGGGTTTAGGGTTTAGGGTTCAGGGCTTGTGCTGCGTGATCGGACGATAGGGTTTGAGGTTTAGGCCTCTGTTATCCCGACAGGGATAGCTCTTGAGGGTTCAGGGTTTCCCTCACAGGGGGTGGCACAAGGTTTAGGGCTCTTGGGGTACCATAATGTTGTCGGGGACCCGGAGAAAGAGACCAATGACTAATGTTTTTGCAAACTACCCAGCGGAGGATGCTGGCCTGACTGACTGCGAGGGTCCAGTGCACTTGGGCTTTAGGGACATGTCGCTCTTGGGAACCTGGAATGCCAACAAGCAATTCACATGGCAGAACATGAGAAACCGCACGTGATGGGGTGCAAGGATCCAGCTCATCACGACCCTGTCCTTGTCCATGCGGGTGTTCGCGGCCTGCTGCCGGACTGGATCTGCTTTGAACTCCTGCGCGGGCTGCGGGGAACATTCAGCTTCCAAAAAACTACGCCTCAAACCTCTTTTTTGGCCGCTACCCTACTACTCTAAAACCTCAACTCTGAAAACCTCTATACCGACCCTCAACCCCCCGACGCACCTGCGAAGGCATGTCTGACGTCAGTTGGAGCCCCTAAAGACTCCGAAAAGAGTCTGCCACACGGGTTTCTCTCTCTCTGCCGCGCCATCCCCGAGGGTCTTGCTTCGCAAGGGCACGAAAAGTAGGCTAGGATCTCAGGAGGCGCAGTGAGACCGCAGGACCTCCTTCATTCGCCTAGCCCACTCCATGGGACATTCACTGACCTCTACAACCACACTTTGGGCTGCCAGGCCTCGACTGAAACACGGGGCACTCAGCCTTACAGACTGACTGAAACTCTCCTGCAATCAACAGTCTCACCGCAAACGTCCTGCTCTGAAGGTAGGTCAAGACCACAGCACACACATTCATCAAGCCAGAGTTATGCGTCTCCCAATGCAGCCAGCCATCGCAGCGCCGCAACGTGCGGAGAGTTAGAGCCACACGGGTTTAGGGTTAGGGTTTACATAGGGTTTAGGGTTTAGATCCGATTTCGTCAGGCTGCACGACACACTATGCACGTGTAGGCAATGTACGAAGTAAATACTCGGCGATACAAAACCCGACTGTGCCAGAACATGTGCAAGGGTTTAGGGTTCAGGGTTCAGGGGTCAGGCTTCAGGGTTTAGGGTTTAGGGTTTGAGGGTTTGAGGGTTTGGGGCCTGACCTGGTCAATGGAGGGTGGACCGCGGGGTCCGCGCCGAGCATGCACCCGAAAAAAACCTCAAACACCCAAGCAAGCCTCTAAACCCTAAACCCTAATCCGCCTAAACCTGTGATGTTCCCCCTTATACTAACAGTCCTTAAAAGGGATTATAATCGGGGGGGTAACTATAATCCCAATTAAGGATTGTTAGTATAGGGGGAACATCCAAACCCTAAACCCCAAAACTGAACCGATACTAGGGGGGGGACTATAATCCCAATTAAGGATTGTTAGTATAAGGGGGAATATCCAAACCCTAAACCCCAAAACTGAACCGAACCCGCATTTCCGTGAGCTGTCCTTCTGCTTGTACTGCCATTCGCCCTGCACCCGCTGCCACTCCAGCACCTCTCCGAGCCACCCTAAACCCTAAACCCTAAACCCTAAACCCCAAACCAAAAACCCTAAGCCCTAAACCCTAAACCCCCAAAGGCTTCAAAGTGCTAGGGCGTATCGCTGGAAAGATTTCGCGTCGGTTCGGGGCTGAGGGTTTAGGGAAATTGTTTTGGGTTCAAGTGCGGAGTTTCGGGCGGGTTTGGGGCGGGTTTGGGGCGTGCTTCGGGCAAAAAGGTTCGGGAGGGGCTTTTTCGCAAGTTTTGGGCGGGTTTTGGGCGAAAGGACGAAAGTCTTGGGTGGGTTTTGGCCGGGGCTTGGGGAAAGTTTTGGGCTTGCTTTTTGGGGGTGTTTTGGGGCCTTTTCAGAAGCCTTGTTGAAGAACATTTGAGGTACCCTAGATAATCCCTTAAAGGGTATATGTAGGGGGATGTAGGGTACCTCACTCCCACATTCCCTACCAACCAACAGTAAGATTGAACATCTTTGAAGCCTTGTTAAAGTAAATTGAGCATTTGGCCGCCAGGGACCTCTTGGATGGTACAACTTCTATTGATCGTGGTCCGTAGGGCTTAGGGTCTTGGGGGGCTTTTGGGCTTCGTCGGCGAGCTTTGAACCTAAACCCCAGTTCAGCCAAAGATCAACCCTAGTTGGGCTCATGCAAGCAGAGCTGCCCATGGAATCGCGGGCTATAAGATGGGTCATTTAGGGCCCTAGACTTTGAGGCTCAGGCCTCAACTCTCAACCCCAAATAACTGGGTTGGCCTTTGAGCCCTCTGAAAAATGTTTGTATATAGGGTCCCTTATAAGGAGAATATGAAATATCCCAAAAGCCAACCGAGATTTAAAACAACACTAGCGGGAGGCAGGCGGCTCGGTTGGTGAAGGTCTCGTCTGGAAAGAGGTCTTCGACACGGGTGGTGATCTTCTTGGCCTGCATCCACGACCTGAGCCCCACACCTCGAAACCCGAAGCCCCTAAACCCTAAACCCTAAACCCTCAACCCTAAACCGAGCCACAAAAGCCTGGCTTCTGAGTAGCTGCCCTGAGCCCGAAACCCGCAGCCAGCCCACAAACCCTCAGAGTCAAGCAGCAACCCCCATCACCCCATAGCCACCACCCCAAGAAATGGATCAAGTGCATCGAATCCGAGACTGCTTCAGGGTTTTCTCAGCCCCAAGAGCAACCGAGGAACAACAAGGATGGCCCTTGGATAGCCCCCTGTTTTTGTTTTAAAGGTGCTTATAAGGGAACCTGAATCCTGCAAAACAAGGGATGCTGTGTCCTGGTTCTTGGGGGCTTCAGGGCTTCCGAGCACCGGGCTTCATGTAGTCCTTGCTGGCAACTTCCCCAGCCCATTCGTAGCGGATCCTTGGCCGTCTTGGGTTTTGGGGTTGAGGGTATGGGGTTTAGGTTATACTGGTTGGTGGTCTCTTTAAGTAGGGTTTCTGTTTTGTGGAAGGTTCTTACTAGGGTATCTAGGGGCTTTACTAAGGTATAAGGGTAACAGATAAAGAGCCTTTTGGGGGTGCAGGTTTAGGGTTTAGGGTTTAGGGTTTAGGGCATCTAGGGTTGGGCCCTTGTCGGGTCTTGCTTGCAGGTTCATGTGCAGATTCTCTTCAGTTCAGTCGAGTTGCAAGTGCCCCAACGATACCACCGCCGGATCCCCAGTGAAAAGTACATTCCTCTGAAATCGCAAGTAAGGGCCTCATCCTACCGAAGCCCTGAGCCCTAAACCCTAAACCTTTTAAATGTTGGCTCCCGCCGCGGCGTGCGAAGCGCGTTCAAGAGGGTCTAGGGTTGAGGTATTGGCTTCAGGGACCTAAAGTTACATGGGGGGTTTCCGATATTTTGGGGGTACCTTGGGGTCCTTCTAAGGGGGATCCTACTATCTGAGGGTCTATCTTGGGGGGGTCCCCTGTTTTCGTAAGCCTTAGAACCTTCATCAAAATAGTAGTTTTAATATCCTTTTGGTTTTTGTATAAACAAAAATAAAAATGATTCCCAAGGGGGGATATAGTATTAACTTGCAGTTCCAGGAGCTCCGAGAAGTTTTCGGACTCGTCCGGGAGAGTGAAATCAGCGAAGCTGCCTTAGCTCAGGCTCCGCGAAACCCTCAAACCCTAAAACCCTAAAACCCTAAAACCCTAAACCCTGAACCCTGAACCCTAAAGCCTAAAACCTAAACCCTAAGCGAAACGGGTTCAAGGTCTCGGGGTTGGATCTCTCTCTTGGAAGCCTTCAGGCCGGAGCAATGAAACCAAGCACGCCCCCGCGAAATGGCATCGCTTCAGCACGCAGCGCCTTTGAGAACAAAAGCCAGCCGAGCGCCTGAGGCCCTGACCCTAGGGTTTAGGGTTTAGTCTTTAGGGTTTAGGGTTTAGGGCTTCTGCCGCATGGTCTGAGGGCTGCGGGCTTAGGGCCTAGGGTTTGGAACTCCCCTTGCTGCTGGGCTGCCGAAAGCGGCTCAACCGTAAATTCCCTAAAGCCCGGAAGCCCACTGCTAATATAACCCCTGTGAACCCAGAGCCATTTTCAACCCTAAACTCTCAACCCTCCCTTTCTTTTTTGAACCCTCAACCTTCCCTGAACCCTAAACCCTAAACCCTAAACCCTTAACCCTAAACCCTAAATTGACAAATGCAACAGGGCGGCTGTTGAAGGTCACCGAGACCAGGTCTGTGGCGGAGCGTGGCAAGAACCATACGCGCAACTCCTGGGGCCGGGGATGCTTCGGGTTTAGGGTTTAGGGTTTTGGGTTTTGGGGGCTTCAGAGCTTTCAGTGTTTCGGGGCCTCAGAGGCTCAGGGAAGCTCAGGGTTTGTAACCCTAAACCCTAAACCCTGAACCCTAAACCCTAAACCCAAAACCCTAAAACCCAATAACCCTAAACCCTAAACCCTAAACCCTAAGAACCCTGAACCCTAAACCCTTAAACCCTAAACCCTAAACCCTGGAGTTTAAGCAGTTTGGGGCTTCAAGTTCCGCGCCTCGTCGTCCAGCTCGGCCACTGGGGCTGCCTCCGCCTCCTCCTTGGGCTCCTGGCCGGGAGCTGTGGGGGTAGGGTTTAGGGTTTAGGGTTTAGGGTTTAGGGTTTAGGGTTTAGGGTTTAGGGTTTAGGGTTCAGGGTTCAGGGTTTAGGGTTTAGGGTTTAGGGTTTAGGGTTTAGGGTTTAGGGTTCAGGGTTTACAGGGTTCAGGGTTTACAGGGTTCAGGGTTTAGGGTGTAGAGCTTAGGGTTTTTTAGGGTGTAGGGTTTGCAGGGTGTAGGGTTTATGGTTTAGGGGTTTGGGGGTTTCATATGGCGAGGGTGGGATCAAAGATCAAAGCTTCGAGCTTGGGATCTCTGAGGAATGTGCAGCTGCGTTCTGCGCAGGCGGGGCCCCAATTCAGGGCTCCGCAGCAGGGTGGGCCCGCGACAAGCTTCTTGGCCCTCAACCCAAAAGTCCTGCGCGTTCCCTCGAGTAAACATGAAACAAACCCTGAACCCAAAAAGCCCTATCTACCCTGCAAACCCTGCGAACCCCATAAGCCCTAAATCCCTTAATGAAACAGCGACATGTTTTTTTCGTCGGCGGCGTGCAAAAAAGCACAGCTCCTCCTTCATCTGGACGTCGGCCTCCTCCTTGGAGAGATTTTGCAGAAGCCAACTTCACCGGCACAACGCTCCAAACCACACACAGAGGCAGATCCTAAAACATGAAAATCTGCAGCCTTAAACCCGAAACCCGGTTTTTTACCCTACATCCTAAACCCTAAGCCCAAAAAACCAAGCCCTGCAATCCTCAAAGCCCTAAAGGCCCCCCGCGCCCCAAAAAACGCCGGAGCGGGACCCAGGCTCAGTGTTTAAGGCCCAAGTCAACTAGTTTAGGGTTTAGGGGTTTCGGGTTTCGGCTGTAATCAACTAGTCAACTAGTTTTGGGGTTTAGGGGTTTAGGGGTTGAGGGGTTGAAGGGTTTAGGGGTTTAGGGTTTAGGGGCTTAGGGTTTGGGGTTTAGGGCCGCCTGCCTTGGCTTCGTCCTTGACCTCCGCCTCCTCCTTCATCTCCTCGTCCTTGGCCTCCGTGGGTTTCCGGGGTTTAGGGTCTAGGGTTTTGGGGTTTAGGGTCTAGGGTTTAGGGTTTAGGGCTTAGGGTTTGGGCTCAGGGGTTGTTTGTTGGCTTGGGCCTGAGGTCTTGGTTAGTGCTTTGGGGGGATTTCAGGGAGGCTTCAGGGAGGCTAGAGAGTGGCCGGGCTTGGAGGGGGCGGGGTTCGCGTCCAAGCCCTGAACCCTCCCCCCTCACCCACCTCCCCCCCCCCCCCCCCACAAGACACCGAAAACCGCAAGTCCTTCGCGGCTCGAAGCCGACAAACTTTTCGAAACCTGAAACCCCAACACCCCACCCCCGCCGCGAACTCAGCTGCAATAAGGATGCTTCGCCTCTTAAGACATATGAGACCCCCCCCCAATGCCTTCATCGTGCTAGCGATGTTCGTATGCTCTTATTGTGATTACTCGGACTGAGGGCTGCGCGCTGCTTAGGATATCTAGACTCTGGGGCTGTCGCGCGTTAGCAGCCGAAAGCCAAGTGGCTGTGAGCGCCCTGTTGTCTCCAGATGAAGACTTCTGGATCAAGGGCCCTAAGCCTTGCCCCTGTGCATCCTAAACCCCAAACCTAACACCCCAAACCCTGAACCCTCCCCCTGAAGCCCCAAACCCGACATCCTTTGAGAGTCGCCTCGCCACTCGCCGCCGCAGGGTCCGCCTCCTTCTCCTCACCCGCAGCCTCCTGCATGTCCAGAGGAGGGTTAGAATCGGTTAGAAGAACAAAACGTCTTCTTTCCAGCCTTTCACAGCATCACGAGTTTTGTGGGGTTCGGGGACTAAAGTGAAGGCTAAGGGCGAAGGGCTTGGGGTTAAGGAGTTTGTGGTGGTGGTGGAGAAATTCTTCGAGAATCATAGTAGAGAATTCATCTAAATTCCACCCCTCTCGTTTCTTGTTTTTGTTTCTTGTGCTCATTTTTCGAAAATCATTGGAGAAGTAGAGAATTGGTCTAAATTCCATCCCCCTCGTTTCTGTTTTTTTGTTTCTTGCGTTCAGGAGAATGAGTTTAAAAGCAGCAGCAGCAGCAGGAGGAGGAGGAGTAGTAGTAAGATCAGGAGAAGCAGCAATATCAGGTTTGAAGGAGGCGGGTGCCCTAAGAACCGAACCATAACCTTTTGAACCAGTACGTAATCCACAACAAAAAGGCCAAACCCTACTGCAAACTAGCTTGAGGAACCCGAGCAAATGCAGAGCGAACTATCATTGCAATTGCGTTGGCGGGTTCCTTTTTGAGGGAGGGTTCCTTATTCCAGCACATCCTCAAAAACCGATTTGCCCTAAACCCTAAACCCTAAACCCTAAATACCAAGGAGCCCCTCAGTCCCTCAGTCGAAGCAAGCCCAGCCTTTGCAGCCTCTGCTGCTTTTCGCTGGGCCTCCTGGATGGAGGGAGCTTGGGGGCTGAAGGCTTTGGGAGTTTAGGGTTTAGGGTTTAGGGTTTAGGGTTTAGGGTTTAGGGTTTAGGGTGTCAGGGCTCAGGGCTTGTGAGTGGATGCAGCTGTCTTTCGGAAGCAGAGGAGAGTCTTTTCTCGGGCCTTTTCCCACTGGACTCGAGTCTCGCCAGCCAGAGGAGCCCTCCCAAGCCCTAAACCCTCTAAACCCTCTAAACCCTCTACACCCTAAAAGCCCTGCAAACCCTAGGGTTTAGGGTTTAGGGTTTAGGGTTTAGGGTTTAGGGTTTAGGGTTTAGGGAACCCGAAACCCCCTAAACAACCCTCAGCCCGAAACCCGCCCGGCACCCGCTTGGCTGTTGGGCTAGGCGGGCGTTGCGAGACTCTGCGAGGGAACCCTAGGCAGGTTGGCCACCCTCAACCACAAACCCTCAACCCGAAACCCTAAACCCTAAGCCCTTTTGGTTCCATCTGGGCTGGGTGGGGAATGCCAGAAAAAAAAAGCGGCTGCTTGCACAGCCCTAAACCCTAAACCCCAAGCCCGAAACCCTAAGTTCCAAAACCCGGGCCTCCTCCAGGGCCTTCTGCTTCTTCTGCAGCGCCTCAAGCTGCTTCTGCCGCTCCTGCTCTTTTGGGAGGGTTCAGGGTTTAGGGTTTAGGGTTTTGGGTTTAGGGATACTTTAAGGTTTAGTGTTTAGGGATTTTGGGGGGTTTAGGGTTATCTAGGTTTAGGGCCTTCGGGTGTGATAGGGTTTCGGGGCTTCGGGTTTCAGGGTTTAGGGCGTTCGACGTTTAGGGCTTCGGGGTTTCTAGGGGTTTGGGGGGGGGGGGGGGGTTAGGGAGGGCTTGGGCGTTTAGGGTCCTTGCAGGGCTGCGGGGGAGGGTTTAGGGAGGGCTTTGGGCGTGTAGAGTTCTTGCAGGGCTGCGGGCCAAGCCTCTCAACCCTAAAGTGTGGCCATGCTGCATCACGCAATGCTACACTGAACCCAAGGGCAACCTAGGAATCAAGAGGCTGCCCTTTTTGGTTTGCATGACAGGGGCTTATAAGGGAACCTAAGCCTTAACAAAATGGGAATAGTTTAGGGTCCTTCTCGATTTGTTGAGCTTTCCACTCCGCATCCAGCTTCTCCTGCGAAGGCATCTAAACCCCTGAACCCAAAACCCTAAACCCTAAACCCCAAAAGCCACTGCAAAGCCACCCTGGCTTGAACATCACGCCCCAAGACATGGAGAACCCTACTTGAAGGTTCTGGGTAGATAGAAGCAGGGTTATAAGTTGCAAGTACCCAAAAGAAGGCTATAACCAGATATAAGTATAGTTGCTTATAACCCCACTTATAACTACCCATGAGCCTCCAAGTAAGCCCCGAAGCCAGAAACCCTTGTGAACCCAGACTCGGACAAGCTTGCTGGGGGACTTCTGGACTTGCTGAATGCCCGGAAACGGAAGGCGACATGCGACAACTCCCACGACACGGAGGAGACCAAAAAAAAAAACGGTCAGGGAGGGGCAATGCCCTCACTGCAGCGACGGTACGCGCCAGAATGTTGACTCAAACGTATGTCAGCCGATTTCACCCTTTTTGAACCGAGACTGGGCAACCCTACCCTAAACCTAAACCCTAAAGCCCTAACCCATAGAGAACCCCAGACTCCACCCAACCTCCTCCCCGCCCCCAACCCAACCCCTACCTAGGATGGCCCTTAAACCCCGTTTTTGATGTTCCTAAAGATGGTCCTCTTAGACCAAGTAAAGGAAAACATATAATATCCCAAAGGCTCCCTAAACCCTAACCCTAAACCCTAAACCCTCACTCTACCGGAAGCCCCAGGAGGACCCCAAATTCCCAAACCCGGACGGGCCGAAACCCAACACCCCCCAAAAAACCCAACAACCTTAAAACAACCTAAGGCCTCCAACAAAACTCCAAGAATCCTCCCCCCAGAACAGGGCTTAGGGCCTAAGTTGAGGGTTTAGGGAAACAAAAACACAGCAGAAAGCCCTAAACCCTAAACCCTTGCAAACTTCCACCGCCTGCTTCTCAGCCAGGAGGACGGCGTGCACCTTGGCCTTGAACGCCTCGAGGGGGTTTGGGTTTTTTAGGGTTTAGGGTTTAGGGTTTAGGCTTTAGGGTTTAGGGTTTAGAGCTTGCTGCGGGAAGCTCATGTGGGTCGCGCATGTTTTATTTCTCCGAAGCTGTGCGTCTCTGACGACTCACCGCTCGTTTCCGTCACGTCCGCGTTGCATCGGCATGCCCTCTCCTTCGTGAGGACAACCGCCCCACAATCGCAAAGGTGCTGCTCGTCAAAGGCTCGCACCTGTGCCTTGTGAGTCCCGCGGCAGCGTGCGCAGCCGCAGGTAAAGTTCCAGCTCATCTGAATGAGCCCGGCCCGGTCCTCCAGGGGCTGTCCGAGGTCGAGGTATGCAAAGGTAAGCTCCTCCTCTGGCTCGATGTCCCGCAGTGCGAAGAAGCGAACCTGTCCTCCAACAATACGTTCAACACCTCAGTAGCCCAGTAACCATGTTGCAATAAGGGCACCCATTTTTTGGTTGTTACTTTATAAGGGAACCCAGAAGCAAAAAAAACCTTTTTGGTGGGTTACCGTATAAGGGAACCCAGAACCAAAAAAAGGGTAAAGGGTGCCACTGGGCTACAGTACCAAGACACAGTTGGGTAGGCAGCTGTGGTTCACGTACGCGGCGGTCGGGGCAAGGCACTGGCCATCCTGACCGTCGGGTCCCAGGCCGAAGGCGTTCAGCGGCACCGCTGCCAGCACTGCTTCGAGGAGTCTTGGGTCGGAGCTGAGTTTGCTGGGGAAGAGGGTGGAGCCGTCCTCCTTCTCGTGCACAGAGCCCGCTTCGGAAGTTTTCTCCTGTTCCCTCTGCTTCTCCCGGAGCTGCACGAAGAGGGCGGCAGCGGTAGCCCTGAGCCGCGCCCGGCGCTTGGCGCCTGGCCGCGGCGGCTCTGGCATCAAGCCGAGCCAGTCGCTGACATCACCTATCTCAGCATCTCGGGTGAAGGCATGCAAGGAGATGAGCAAGGCCACGTTCGAGCGAACTTCTGAAGGCACCTCTTGGTAGCCCAGTAACCATATTGTAATAAGGGCACGCTTTTTTTGGGTGGGTTTTGTTTTATAAGGGAACCCATAATCAAAAAAAGGGTAAAGGGTACCACTGGGCAACCAAGACCTCTTTGTTCGTAAAGCACGCCAGGCGCTGCAGCAGCTCACACTCGTGCCGGTGTCTCTCCGCAGCCTGTCCACGCTGGCGGCAAGACGCACAGTAGTACGCCTCCTTGGCAGCCCAGTGTCCATATATTGTAGTAAGGGCACCCTTTTTTTGGGGGGTTGGTGACTTTATGGTTATTTTATCAGAAGAACCTTTTTTAGAGGAGGGACTGCAGCGCTATAAGCAAGACCAAAAACAAGGAAAACAAAAAAGTAGAAAAGCCGTACCTGTCGGTTACCAAGCCTCTTTGCAGCTAGGACAGGCCTCCAGAGGCTCATCGCCCTGGCTCACTGCACGGAGGCAGCCGCGGCAGCGGAAGGGCCGGGCAGGAAGCGCCAGGGCCACCGCCCAAATCTCCGCTGCTAAGACCTCCTGGGATGGCCCTTAAAGCCCTTCTTGAAAAAGCTTCCTAAATTATGATCCTCTTAAACCCAATGAAGCAATGAAGGAAAATGTAGGAACATATTCCTAAACATGATCCTCTTATGCAAAACCCAAGGAAGGACAATACTTGAGATCGGGGCCACGAAAGCTAGAAACGCTGCTATGATCTGCACCAGACCCAAGGGGATCACAAAACAACGCTGCCAACTCTGAACTGCTTAAGCAAAACGAAAGGATGGGACACGCAGCGGTCGCACTAAGAGCTGTCGGAAGCTGCGGATTCGAATGCTCATCTCGGGGCCTTACAGCTCGACAGCAGGGCCTGACCAAGACGGAGGGGGAAGCCTGAAAAGGGGTGGGGGGGGGGGGGCCCAAAAGGGGGGGGGGGGCCCCCCCTCCCCAAATCAATTAAGGCGACCTGAAAGGAGGGGGGGGGGGGGGGGGGGGGGCCCCCCCCCCCCCTCCACAGCCCTTTATCTCTTTGATTTTCAGACCACTTAAGGGTCGGAGTCGCTTCTTGACCCAGCTGAACACTAGAGAGAATTCTTGTAAACGACAACTCTCGCGAGCTCCAAGGAGCTAGCTTTGGTGATTAAGGAAAATATATAAAACATTCCGAGAGCCGACCGAGCCTCTGCAGAACGCGCCAGGCGCTCCAGCGCGAAGAGGCCTCGGCCCTTGGACTGCGTGTCGCGGAGCTCGATGGACGCGGGGAGAAAGCGCGCCATGGGGGCAGGCCAGTGGCGCTTCAGGTCCCCAAACAGACGAGGGGCTTGGGCATTGGGGAATTTTCAGGGTTGAGGGTTTAGGGTATAAGGGATTGTCTTGGATATGAGGGGAGTTTTGGTCACGTGGGTTTCGGTTTCGGGTACCGCCACCACCACCATGATCAAAAGCGCCATCCACCCACCAGAGACCGGGTGCACGTCATGTAGAGGTCACCCTAAACCCTAAACCCTAAACCCCAAACCCTAAACCCCACCAAATTGTAAACCCTTCTTCTGAAGCTTGGACTGAAGGCGGCGCCAGCACGTCTGAAGAGACTCTTGCAAGGACAGCGGCACAAGAACCAGCACCATCTGAATCAATGACGCTCCCAACCCTACAGCCCCAAAACCCGAAACTCCCTAAACCCCGAAACCCCAATTTGCGAAAGCCCTGAACATAAAACCCCAAAGCCCCTAAACCCAAGAACCTTAGAACCCTACCACCCCGAAGCCCTGACTCCTCAAACCCCCAAAATACCTAAACCCCCCTAAAAATTTTTTAAAAAACCCAAAGCCTGGAATCCAACCAAAAACCCCCCAAATCTCCCCAAAAAAACCCTTAAGTGACCCCTGATTGTATCGAACCGACCTGTAGGCTCTGAGACCCCCCGCCCCCACCCTAAACCCTAAACCCTCTAAACCCTCTAAACCACAAGAAACAAGAATAAAAGCGTGTAGGGCAGTGTAGGGTCTGTAGGGCTTTTCAGACAATTCAGACAAGAAGGGGGAGTGTTAGGGCGTTGTAGGGTTTAAGGTTTAGGAACCCTCCTCTCCCCTCCCCCCAAAAAAAACCAAACAACCAACAAATGATAAATACATAAGGCAGAACTCCCCTCAACCCTCAACCCTCAACCCTCAACCCTCAACCCTCAACCCTAAACCCCAGTGAGCCCAAAAACCTAAACCTCCTAAGAGGGGCCTCGGGTGGCTCCCCCACCACGACCATGGCCACGCGCTTGAAGTGGGGCAGGTTGAAGCGCTGCGCAAGCTCCTCTTTTAGGGTTTAGGGTTTAGGGTTTCGGGTTTAGGGTTTCAGCAGCAGTCTCAAGGGCCCCCTCAGAAGGGACGTAGGGTTTAGGGTTTAGGGTTTAGGGTTTTCGGGGCTACTTAGGTATATAGGGACGATATAAGGTATATATACGGGTGACATAGGGGAATAAGATTAGGGGCCCCTTCTAGGCGGGGGGGGGGGTCCCTCCTTATGTCCTTTGAAAACCCCTGTGCGCTAAACCCCTGAAAATCCTAAACCCATTCTTGTTGCACTAGGGTTCAGGGTTGGGATGTTCTCCGTTATACTAACATTCCTCAATAGGGATTTTAAAACCCTATGGTCCCCATTAAGGACTGTTAGTATAAGGGGGAACATCCCAAGTTTAGGTGGTTTTCGGAGGGAAACCCTACCTCACTTCTGCCAGGTTGCAATGTGGGGAGTTTACGAAAGTGAGGGACCCCTAGACTCCCAAATAGTCCCTATAATAAGAACCCCAAGAAGGTACCCCGAATTTCGGAAACCCCCATGTAGCCTGTAGAGGCTACAGAGGAACTCCGTAAGGGTTTCGGGTTTAGGGTACCTACCCTGGTTGCAGCCGGCGTGTGACCCACTTGCTGGATGTAAAGGGATTATGGGGGGGGGGGGGGGGCAAGCGAGTTTTATGATTCTGAGAACTTATCATTGAGGTCTCTTAGGTCTGGGGCCTTCGGCAAAGCCTCAGACTACCAACACCTGCATGTACTAAATGCCTGTATCATATACATGCACAAACTCCATGCTTCAGGGTTGGTATCCACCCATTCCTCATCAATCGGGCAGGCACGAGACTTGGTTCTGGGGCTTAGGCCTGGCTGAATGGACCGAGCCCAGAAAGCAACACGCCAAAGCCAAACCTCCGCACCGGATCCCCGCACAGCCACTCCCCGACAACCCCAGACTCCCCAGACATCGCGGATGTTTTCTTGCTCGCGGGAGCGCCGTGCCGGCCAAAGGAGCAGCCATGGAGCCCCATGACCAGGAGCAACTCGAAAGCCTGGGTCTAGGGGTTTAGGGTTTAGGGTTTAGGTTTAGGGTTTAGGGTTTAGGGTTTATGGTTTATGGTTTGACCCTAAAACCCTTAAAGACCCTACTATTTATGTGGCGCAGGGTTTTGCGGTGCTCACTTCGCTCGTGGTGAAAAACACGAGCCCATGTATACTCACTGACTGCTCGCGTTTGAAAGCGGCGCACTCTGAGTCTCTAGGGTTTAGGGTTTAGGGTTTAGGGTTGAGGGTTTAGGGTTTAGGACCATTCATTGAAACGGTGCGTTGCACCAAGCGCTGGGGAATTGGGACTTTTTGGAGCTAATGTTGGGGCAAACTGTTCCATTTCGGGACAAGGAAACCCGATGCACCCGTCAGAACCCTCAATAGATACAACTATTCTTGAGTATCAGGCAATATGGGGATGATTCTACCTTGCGTCTTGGGTGGTTCTTCAGCAAATACTGGAAAAGCCTCCGGGCTTATGGCTTGTAAGGGTCAGTCCCAGGAGCCCGGTGCCATAGACCGCACATGTCGCAGGCGACGAAGGCGCTGTGATAGCTTACCACATCTGGCAGCAAGCTCCACTGGTCCATGCCGTACCTAAGGGCGGGCTTCGTCTTAGCTCTTTGGGCTCTTGGGTCCTCTAACCGGCGGCAAAGTCACCCCGACAACTTTACTTCTATCGGCTCCATAACCCATAACCCTAAACCCTAAACTCTAAACCCCTAAACCCTAAACCCAAGTCCTAAGTCGACCGCACTTCACCCTGTACGCCAACCTCGGGCTCACGTTCAGATGGGCGTGGGGATCTAGCAAGGCATTATCGGATCACTGGGCGTGGAAGGCTTACGGGAGTTTCCTGTATCTTCTCTCTCTCTCTCTCTCTCTCTCTCTCTCTCTCTCTCTCTCTATATGTATATATGTGTGTGTATGTTTGTATATCTCCATATCTGCACCTCTATATCTGTGCATATATTATATATATATATATATGTATGTATGTATGTATGTATGTATGTATGTATATGAACGTATATGTACATGCATATACAGAGTTACATCGGTCGTGATATATACATCTATATACATACCTACATACCTACCTACATACCTACATACCTACCTACATACCTACATACATACATATATATAATATAGATATATAATATGTGTGTGATACAAGCTGAGGGCGTGTAAAGTTCAGAGTTGAACCCACGGGAAAACATGGGAGCGGGGACGGGAGTCGACTGCCTTCGAGCCTCATCATGTGGTTTAGGGCTTTGTTGGTTCCGGTTTTATCGTTTTGTTGGTTCCGGGTTTACGGCTTATAGGTGTTAGTTGGTTCCGGGTTTAGGATTTTTGTTGCTTCCGGGTTGAGGGGTTAATCGGTTCAGGCTTTAGGCTGTGTGGTTTTGTTGGTTCAGGGTTTAGGGTCTACAGGTTTTTGGTTTGGGATTCGGGGCGCAGGGCTCAAGAAGCAGTCCGTGGCAGAGAAAACCGTGATTCGATACAACCTGCCAGGTTCTGCCGAAACTTTTACAGAACCCTAAACCCTTAACCCCAAAGCCCTAAGCACTAAACCATCCCTGACTTATGGGATGCTTAGGGGGGGGGGGGGGAAGGGGGGTGTAACCCAAGGTTCCCTAATACTCCCCACTACGCCCTGAGGCTCCCTAAGCTTTTGCAAGGATTTCTGGGTACCTACCCCCCCTTTAAACCCCCTCCCTTAAGGACCCTAGGTCTGAGGAGTTGAGGCCAGCGACCTTTTTCCCGGTTACGCATTGAACATAGCCATAGACGCATCAAAACAATCCAGGGGCCAAATCAAAAAAAGCTTGACATGTACAGAAAAGCACTATGAGTTGGGATGTTCCCCTTCTAGCAGTCCTTAATCGGGATTGTAGTACCCTCTATTTAGAATCCCTTAAGGACTGTTAGTATAGGGGGGGAACATCCCAAAGTATGAGTCTTTGCAACCCTAAACCCTAAACCCTAAACCTAAACCCTAAACCCTAAACCCATGAGCTATCTCCGCTTCTTCAGGGCTGCAAGAGGCCCAGCGCCAGCTCCCAACGCTGGCGACAGGCGAGGATAGCGCTGTTGCAGCCGATGAGGTCCAGGGGGATCCTTTAGGGCATCGCGTTCAGGGTTTCGGGTTTAGGGTTTTTTTAGGGTTTAGGGGTTAGGATTTAGGGTTTAGGGTTTCGGGTTTAGGGTTTCGGGTTTAGGGTTTAGGGCTTAGGGTTTCGGGTTTTTTAGGCCACCCTGAACTCTGAAACCTCAAACCCTCCAACCCCCAAAACCCTGCGACCCAGAAGCAAGCGCTCAAACCCAAAGCCCCAAACCCCAAATCCATAGATCAAAAAACTCTGACCCTACACCCGGAGCCATGCAACCCGAGACCTTTGGGATGCAGCAAGGGTTCAGGGTCTCGGGCTTAGGATTTGGGGTTGCGGGTTCAGGGTTCAGGGCTTCCTTGTGTGGATGTCCCTTGGGCCATTTGCCCTAGTCCCTAAACCCTAAACCCTCAACCCTAAACCCTCAACCCTAAACCCTAAACCCTCAACCCTAAACCCTAAACCTTCTTCTGTAAATCTGGTTGCTCCAGGCCTTGGGGTGTGCAGGATGGGAGCCTTTGCAACGCGGACTCTGTGGTTTAGCCCGCCCCCCCCAGAACACGGGTTTAGGGCTTAGGGCTTAGGGCTTAGGGCTTAGGGCTTAGGGTTTAGGGCTTAGGGTTTAGGGTTTAGGGTTTAGGGTTTATAGGGCTTAGGGCTTAGGGTCAGGACATGGGCTCAAGGACCCTGGGATGACTCTTGTACGTAGGGCCTGGGGGGCTGCCAATACTGCCTTCTTGGGGTCCTTCTTGTAAGGGGAGCCTATATATCTGTGGGCTAAAAAAAGCTCTTCTTATAAGGGGATCCTATTATCTGTGGGCTAAAAAAAGCTCTTCTTATAAGGGGATCCTATTATCTAAAAAAAAAGCTCTTCTTATAAGGGGATCCTATTATCTGTGGGCTTATATAGCTCTTCTTATCAGGGGATCCCATGATTTGGGGGTTCGTATGGCTTATATGCGAGGTCCGTTCTTCTCGTAAATTTCTTATGGCATTCAGTCCTCCTCTCGGGAAGCAGCTCCAAGAAATCCAGGGCAACTTGCCACTGGCCTCTCTTGCGGGCCACGCCAAGCGCTTGAGAACTGAAGAACGTTTGCTCGGGTTGTGAAGAGCCCTCGCTCTCCTTAACCCCAAGCAGCAAAAGAGCCCTCAAGCTCTTTCCTGTTTAGGGTGTGCTCCTGTCTCTCTCACGCTCTCATTGTCGAACTTCGCTGGCGGCCTGGTGCAGCTATTGCAACCCCTGCCTGACTTCTCAGCAGCGCTCATGGCACTGTTGTAGGTGATGGCGTTCGGCTGCAAGCGGCAGGCCTGAGGAAGAAACCCACAACCCTTAACCCTAAACCCTTTTCTATCCCGACAGCACATGAACAGAGGAGCAGAACGACTCTATCCTACAATGCCAGCATCGAGAAACAATTTCAACTGTAAGGACCATGTGAAGCTCTTCAGTAAACCCCTAAACCCTAAATCCTAGACCCTACACCTAATCCTATGCCTGGGTTTCGGGGATTTCGGGTTTAGGGTAGTTAAGAAGCCATGATAAGTGCACTTATGACCCACTTATAAGCCCCTTAAGTGCCCTAATATGGTAATAATGGGGTTATAAGTACAGTTCAAACGGGGTCAACCTCCAAGTAACCCCCTTGATCCTTTTTGCCCGCGCTTCAGTATGGTGGCTGGCCAAGGCGCTTGTTTCATAATGGTGAGACTCTGCAGGCGGCTGCGTTCCCATCCTAGGAGCATCCCTCACACAGCACTACCAGCTTTGTCGTTCTCCTCGGGATCGCCACCGGGAATCATCGTCGTGATGTTATTGCCGTTGAGGAGTATGGACTCCAGGTATGTGATCTTCTTGCCC